ATACAGTATAATTATCTTGATATTTGTATTGAAAATCCTGATTTTGGTTTTAGTCGAAAGTTGTTTGTAGTTCCAGATATTCTTCAGCTGTAGAAATGCAGCCCTTGCTTTGCCAATCCGCGCCCTCACATCTGCATCGGATCCACCTTTCTCGTCGATGATGCTGCCAAGATATGTAAAGGTGTTAACGTCCTCCAAGGCATCTCCATCGAGTGTGATTTGGTTAGTGAATGTTGTATTGCATCGGAGAATTTTGCTTTTTCCTTTATGAATGTAGAAACCTGCTGCTACACTGGTCGTTTTATCTTGCATTTGTTGTTGCGTGTGCGATAGAAGAGCCAGGTCATCTGCGAAGTCCAGATCGTCCATTGGATACCGTGCTTCCCTACAGATGTTGACGTCTTCATAATCCAGTCGATTGATGACCAGGAGAAAGAGAAAGGGTGAGAATAAGCAATCTTGCCTGACACCGGTCTTCACCTCGAGAGAGTCTGTTAGCTGTCCTCCGTGCACGATTTTGCAGTTGAATTCATCATAATATATTACAATATGAACCTCAAATGGAGCTGAATATATGCATCACAGTTGTAATCAAATGAAACTTGGTCTACTAAGCCACAGATTTTATACCTCTTTGTACAGTTCAAATAGATTTTAACATATGCTTAAGTTTTTCTGTCAATACTAGCAACATTCACATAAATCAATCAATCAGTCAACAGCAACGTAGAACTTCGTACGAACGTACATTAGTTCAAGTTGCCATACCACATTAGTACACAGAGACGCAATTGTTAATTCAAATCTCGTAGTAGTAGAGTTAGTGAAAGTATCAACAGTAATCGGAGGGATTAGGATTTCAAGGTATTATTCAATACAGAGTATAATTCAGTGAAATACACTTAAAAAGAGAAAGACAGAGGTGGTGAGTGATTGAAAAGATTAGAAATTGAGGGAAGGCAAAGAATGGATGCACTTGAGCCAGTGCAAATGGTTTTGAGCCATGTCATTCAGGTTCTCTAAACATCAATTACTAATTCACATAAATAGTGTTTATTGAATTATAATGAACACTAATATTTAAGTATACATAAATTTCTCGGAAAATATAAAGGTTGATAGGATAGACATGGGGGAAACCAACCGACTGTGTCACAAGACAAGTCCTGACTTTGGATCCTTAAGGTCGAAGGAAAAGAGGAAGACCACAAACACTTTAGGCCGAGAATTAGAAGCAGACATAAAAGGAATGAATAGTAATTGGTTAGAACTGGAAAGGAACGTCTAGGATAGAGTAGGTCGAAGAATGCTGGTCGGAGGCCTATGCTCCATTGCGTGAAACAGGCATATGTAAGTAGTAAGCCTCAAGTACCGGTTTGATGGTGTAGAATTCTAAATTGTTCTCCAGGAATTTTAATCAGACGGCTAGAAAAAAAGGAGATACCGTGTAGTATTGCCTATTATTTATATTATAAAACATATATGACTGGATGCAGAAAAAATAAGAGTACATCTCAAATAAAAGCTTTCAATTAAGAAAATATAGCATTCTCATAAACCGAGTATTCAATGAATACAATTTGTCAGATATGTGTACATTGAATCCCGATAGAATAAATTTTAACTCCTCAGTTTAAGAAAACATTCTTTCGGAAATAAGACATCCATGAAGTCAAGTTCAGTGGTAATTTTCGAGATTTATTTAACCGGTGAATACATTGCTACGAGATTTAGCGCAAACAGATATTCTACTTATGAGTAGTATTTTAAATTCGTCAAAAATCATCTCAGATTGTTGGTTTAGCTAAAAAATTTCGTATGATTTGTCTATAATAGAATACGTTTGGATATTCGAAGCGTCACAATGGGAGTAACTACACATGAATATATGTATGATAACACAGGTCAGAAATATTTTGCGTGAATTAACCACTAAGTTTGAATAAGTAACGTTTAGCAGATACCTCAATGTGTCCAAGGTTGCTTACAGAAATTAGACACTCATAGCTAGAAAACCTGTTCCTCTAGATCTTACCAGTACAGAAAGTTTGGTTGGAGAATGATAGTTGTCATAGCAGTATCACCAATAAAGCTCTATTCTCAGATCAGACAACGTGGTTTACGAGTGGAATCCACCAGAGTATCACTCGGAATGTGTGGCGAAATCAAAGTATTCTAAGGACTAGAACATAGCCGATAATTTACTTGTTTTGATAATGGAAGGCTGAAGATAAGGTGTTTGCATTTCACTAGTAAACTGTGTCTTCATTAAACGCATTACTTATCCTATTTAGTCCTTGTTCATTAAAATATAACCTTAGAGGTTACTTTGAAAGCCTTTTGTAGCAAAGGAACTACATCCGTAATTTATTAGACTGACTGTAATAAACATCCGAAAATTGTCAGATAAATTTCACTCGAAGTATATAATCTGAGAATTATACTGGTAAGTTGATCTAGATCAATTGTCATACATTGTAAGTCTTTGGGCAAAGACCAACTTAGACTTTTATGCAGTGCTCCCAGTGTAGCGAGGATCAATCTTCCAGTAAGCTAACGCGAGCGGCTAGGAGCAGATCGATTTAGTCCTCTACTCTATCTAAACTTTGGATCGTGGACAAGTATGCACTTTGGAGTTGAATATGAGGGTGATTAGAGATTTTATTTTAGGATTGTCTAGACTCTGTTCAGTCAGTTGCAACGCAGAACTTCATACGTATGTACATAAGTTCATATTGCCATACCACATGAGCACACAGACGCAAATGTCAAATATAACCCCATAGTGATAAAGATAGTAGAGGTATTAATGGTAATGAAGAAGAATAGGGTTAGAAGATATTATTCAAGAAGTATAATTCAGTCAAATAAGGTTAAAAGACAAAAAAACGAATCCAGAAGATTAGGATATGAGAGAGCTCAAAGAATGGATGCATTTGCGCTATTGAAAACGATTTTGAGCCATGTCGTTCAAGGTTTCTAACCATTGGTGACTTTCGTCTCGCGGACCCCAACCAGGTAGTCTACATCTACCAACATGATTCAGTCCACTTGTCAGTGACTTCACAGATTTCTGCCATGTTTTGGTCTGGCCGCCCCTAGCTTTCTTCCAACCTGTTCCTACACCACAAAACATAGCTTCTAGACTCTGTTCAGATAGAAATAGTAAGTCTGGTTGGAGCGGTAACCAAAAACTGTTCCGTAACCAGTGCGCGGAGGTTGACTCGAAACTCATCATGGAACGTGTGCAAGGGAATATACCGTTAATTGGCAACTTATTTGCTAAACTGATCTAGTTACTTGATAGCTATTCAGTACAACTAATACCACAGCGATACGGCTTGGGGGTGACTTCATCTTTGCCTGTGTTTATAGAAGTGTATGAACTTTAGTAATTATAATCTATGCATTCATATAACGTATACTTGCGTGCGGAAACCTCTATGCTAATGTCGAATTGCAGCATTGGTAGACTCATCCAAAATATCTTGTATATGTATACAACGTATACTAGCAACTACACTCATCTATGCCACTGTGCATGTATATAAATACACCTGATATGTGTACTAAATGTGTGCATGAAGCATAATTGGGATAAGTAACCACTCGTAATACGCACTTTTCTTCTCGTAATGTGGTATTTACTTTACATAAAGACTCCTTTTTCACCTACATTAAAAGCTCCAACATGTAGTCTAGAATGGGGTTTCAAGAGACCAGGAATGACGTTTCGTGAACTCGCTTCGTCTGCATTAGCTGTGCAGTGAGCTGAAGGAATGCGACTAGAGTTAGTTGTGGAGATAAGAGAGGTACTAGGGGGTGTAGGAAGGATTTGATTTTGACCAACTTGGTCTCGCGTGCTGTTACGGGTATGAGGGCGGTTGTCACTTCCCGGCTGCCCACACCGTCGAAGATTGTTTCTTGAGGAACCTGAAAAAGAAGATAGATTAGTGTTGGTCTTAGAGACCTGGGTGCGTGACCGCAGAGCCCAAGGGACAACTGCTTGAGGCCGGTCACGCACGGCCTTTTTATGAAAGGTTTTTTGAGGATTAGCTCCGTTCTTAAAGGCCCTTAGTGGGCACCCTTACCCAGGGAGACGGAAATTCGTGAGGTAGGGGAGGTGTGACATTTTTAGGGTCGACCTTTTCTAACCCTTCCTTCCTTCGTTGTGAGAAGGCAGCATCGTTGCAGATGCTGGTTATCCGAGGGAAACACCTTACTGCTGTCACACCCCTCTGCAGTTAGCAGTACGACTTCGCCCTCAGACCTTGAGTAGCTGCTTTTAGTCTCATCGTTCTCCAATCAACCTGCCTGGCATGGTAGAACCTTCAGGAACATATGTTCCAGCCAGTATAGCTCGGTCGGTCTATCCTGGTAGGCAAGCCCGACCGCCACGTGTCAAGGTAGCAGCTACGGTCGGGAATAGCCAATGACAAACATAATTGTGAATTAATAAGCTAATCAGACAAAAATCAAAGAGAGAATCAAATATTGTCAATTTTATTCTTACAACTTAATTAATAATACAATGAAATGCAAAATAACATTAAAATCACATTCATTTTCTTTCATAACTCTTCACATATTTTACAAGCATTTAAAACTATTTTCAAATCAAATGTGAAACTATTCAAACAGTTTTTGACAATAGAGAAAAACATGGAACAAATAGATTATAAAGAATTCAAAAGAAGAAAAAAAAATACACAGTCACAAATAAATGCACAATCAAAAAAATAATAAAATAAAATCAAATAAAATCAATAATTATGAATGTCATGCATAGCAATGCATACAAATAACGAAAAAAAAAGAAACTACTTGAAATGCATTCACATCGTGTTCACATTCAAAATAATCATTTTAAAAAGAAAAACTTCAAATCTTTTCAAAGTTAATCATCAGTCAGTCAGTCAGATGCAACGTAGAACTTTGTACGTAAGTACATCAGTTCATGTTGCCATATCACATTATTAGCACAGAGAAGTAATTGTCAATCATGATAAAGTACAACAATTATTGAATGGACAACATGTTTGTTGTTTTTTAAATTCATTTGGTATGGAAAGATGTAAATCCCAATCATCTGTTGAATTAGATTGATGATGATGATAATAACTGCTAAGTTGATCAGCTTTTAAATAATCACATAAACCTTTATTGGCAACATTTTGAAATAATGCAACATTGAATTCTTCACTGTAAAAATTAAAACAAAAAAACCAATAACTACTAAGTATATATATATATATATATACAACTAATTGGAAAGTGAATGATTTAACTTATGAACTGTTCAGTTGTTGCAACGTAGAACTTCGTACGTAAGTACATCAGTTCATGTTGCCATACCACATCAGCACAGAGACGCAAATGCCAAATCAAATCCAATAGTAGAAGAGGTAGTGAAGGTATTAGAAGTAATCGGAGAGGTTAGAATTAGAAGATATTATTATTCAAGAAGTATGATTTAATGAGAAAAGTTTAGAAAGTCAAAACTAGAGGTGTTGAAGAACCCAGTAGATTAGGATTTGAGAGAACACAAAGAATAAATGCACCGGCGCCATTGCGAACGATTTTGAGCCATGTCATTCAAGGTCTCTAGCCATCGATTATTATCATCTCGCGGACCCCAACCAGGTAGTCGACAATTACCGACATGGCTCAGTCCACTAGTCAATGACTTCATGGATTTCTGCCATGTCTTGGTTTGGCCGCCCCTAACTTTCTTCCAACCTATTCCTATACTACAAAACAAAGCTCGACGAGGCAGTCGGTGGTTAGGCATACGCAACACATGTCCCAACCACTTCAACTGATGAAGTTTCACCACTTCATCTATTGATCTGCCATTCTTACCTAGCACTCGATTCCTAATAACAGCGTTGCTCACTCGGGTGTCCCACGATATACGAGCAATGCTTCGAAGACACCTATGATCGAAAACCAGTAACCTACGAATATCTTCTACTCTCACGGGCCATGTCTCACAGCCATAAAGTAAGACGGAGCGAACTACTGAACAGTACACTCGTCCTTTAGTCAGCAAACGGATATCTCGCCTGGGCCATAAGTGACGCAGGTTGGCAAAAGCCAACCTGCGTCACTTATGACGTATGAACAATTATAAGTGGACTAACATGGCAGAGAGAGTGAACCCGTTGAGCGTGTTGACCGCTTCACATATCTCGGGAGTCTTATCAGCGCTGATAGTCTGGTGACTGAGGAAATCTAAGCATGGATACAAAAGGCTCGACAAGGCTCTTGTCAACTTGCGTCTCTTGTGGCGTATCCGTTTGCTAGCCAAAGGAAGAGTCTACTGCAGTTCGCTCCGTTTTACTACATGGATGCGAAACATGGCCGTTAGGAGTTGACGATATTCGTATTTAATTATAGATATCTCCGAAGAATTGCTCATGTATTAAGGGACAACCGAGTATGCAATGCTGTTTTAGGAAAAGGGTATTAGGTAAGGATGGCAGATCAATAGAGGAAGTATTGAACGTGCTACGCATGCGCAACCACCAACTGCCTAGACGAGTAACGTTTTGTGTAAGAGTAGGTTGGAAGAAACCCAAGGTGGCCAAACGAAAACATGACAAAAATCCATGAAGTCACTGACAACTGGACTGAGTCACGTAGGTAGGTGTAGAATACTTGGTTTGGGTCCGCGAGGCGATAGCAATTGGTTAGAGACCTTGAACGACAGCTCAAAATCGTTTGCCATAGTGAAGGCGCATGCATACATTGCGCTCTCTCTGACTACTTCAACCACTATAGGATTTCAACTGACAATTGCGTCTCTATGCTAATGTGGTATGGCATCCTGAACTTAAGTATGTACGTACGAAATTTTACGTTATAACTGACTGAATACATAGTTTAGTTGTATATCCCTTCTCTTTCAATTATCTCTTTGTTTATTAGTTTTCATCCAAAATCCGAAATTCTCATTTTTTCATCAGTCAGTCAGTTACAACGTAGAACTTCGTACGTATGTACATAAGTTCATGTTGCCATACCGCTTAAACACAGAGACGCAAATGTCAAATCAAATCCCATAGTGACAAAGATAGTAGAGGTATTAATGGTTATGAAGAAGAATAGGGTTCGAAGATATTATTCAAGAAGTATAATTCAGTGAGATAAGGTTAGAAAGACAAAGGTAGAGGTGCTGACGAATCCAGAAGATTAGGATTTGAAAGAGCTCAAAGAATGGATGCACTTGCGCCATTGCAAACGATTTTGAGCCATGTCGTTCAAGGTTTCTAACCACTGGTGATTTTCGTCTCGCGGACCCCAACCAGGTAGTCTACATCTACCAACATGACTCAGTCCACTAGTCAGTGACTTCATGGATTTCTGACATGTTTTGGTCTGGCCGCCCCTAACTTTCTTCCAACCTACTCCTACACCACAAAACATTGCTCGTCGAGGCAGTCGGTGGTTAGGCATACGTAACACATGTCCCAACCACCTCAACTGATGAAGTTTCAATACTTCACCTATTGATCTGCCATCCTTACCTAGTACGGGTTTCCTAACAACAGTGTTGCTTACTCGGTTGTCCCACGATATACGAGCAATGCTTCTTAAACATCTATGATCGAATACTAGTAACCTACGAACATCTACTCTTAACGGCCATGTTTTTTTAAGAATACGGGTTTTAAAAAAACATATCCATGCAATCAACCAGTATTATTCCTTGTCAGATATAAAACTTGGCGGTTACGTTGGTGATCGAATGAAGGTAATTGAACCTTATTGTAAACTAGGATTTTGAAGTGAAACTCATCAGTCAACTGCTAAAACATATCAAAACAAGACTTAAATTAGTATTTTCATGATTAGATCTTAAATGTGTATAACTTCCGTTGATAATGCTCTTTCGAAACTTCCCACTAATTAAGTTTCCGATTCCCGTACAGTACTAGTGAGTTGAGAGTGATCATCTTCTAAAATATCCAAAGCGTTACCTAATAGATTGATGATACGGAGTTGTTGTCTAGGCATGAGAAGTGTGTTCATATTAACCAAACTTTATGCTCCTAACAATACAGTATAATTATCTGAGGCGATCTACAATGATAGTCTGTGTAGATTGTTATTCAGTTTACAAGGAAATCAAGTCTTATATAAATGGTATAACTAAATGAACAGGTTATATGGTGGGTGCCTAATGTTATAAATTAAAAATTAATCAAAGAAATGAGGGAACGAACTCATCGTTATCATAGTTGACATTGATAAGAGGCATGTGTTTGGAATAATCAGTTTTACGCCAAAATTGATGTGCATTGTCATTTCTAGGAAAACGGAGTTTATCTTTTGGTAAGAGTTTATAGCGTCTTGGATGTTTTGGTCTGACAACTGCAACAGAATAAAAGTTGGATTTGTTTGAAGTTTCTTCAGATTGAGTTAATGGTGATTTTTCAGCATTGATGTCCATAACTATCACCGTGAAATGACCGTAGATGTGATGAGAATGGTGGATTTTTCTAGAACTATTTTTAAAACAAAAGCAAATTTAGATGAGGGCAATACAACAATGAACATAACAAAACTTGTGATTAGCAGGCAATAAAACAATTAAATTGAAGTTTTTATAACTATGAAGATGACTCGACTATAAGGGAGTTTGTGGAGACTGTTGAATATCATAGTTAACATAACAGACTGGTGTACATCTGCTTTTACGTCAAGGGTGAAATGTACACTATTCAACTATAAATCAACGCCAACATACAGTCGAACGACAGAATAAGTCACGTGGACAGTTTCTTGAACTTTGATAGCTTGTCAAATGTTTATGTTAGTCCATAAGGCTCTCGAACTTGACTGCAGATCTCAAGCGAATTACAAGGGCTGTAAACTACTTCACATTTCCACCAAAGGCAAACACTACTTCTAATCTGTCGGAGTTCCGATTTTTCTGTCAACTGAGGTAGAGTTGGAGACCCTAGAAACATTTAGTACATGATGTCAAGGACAGATTCATAAGTTCACCTGTCCATTGAATAATTCATTCATATTTCAGATTGCAAATGTGGGAGACTTGATGTATGGCCGCCCGAAGACATCCCTCAAATATATGCCAGCAAACATATTTAGTCCAATATTGTCTATTAACTTCACTTCACTGTGAGCGGTTGATAGACGAGGTCTTGGTTAACTTCGATACTACAGAAGCATAAAAAGTAATGGTGAACATTAATTACCATCACAAACGTGCGGTGACGTCAAAATTAATATCCTTACTCGTAACGAAAAAAGACTCTGATGAATTCCCCTACAACACAACAAAAGCTCACATAAATGATAAGAGACAGTTTAAGCAAGTGTTATCAAGAAAGCAAGGATGATGGGAGTCATAATTTCAAATGATAGCCTTTTCTCTTCCTCAACAAAACAGAGCATTTTGTGCAACATTAGTATGATTTTCTATCTCATTTCATAATTTGTGATTGAGTAGTGTGGATTAAATCTGAGCATAACTATGTCTTTTATACGTCAGAATACATTCAACGAGGACTGCAGTTAGAGTATTGTCCAACGAAATGCCGAGTATACTGATTATTTTGTATCCTTTCAGCAAATTATTTTTGCAATGTGTCTTGTGTCGAGACCGTTCATAAACTAATAGGTTTTATCCTTTTTTTCTGATTTTAAACGATAACAATAGAACTTTTGACAGTACGAAGACGTATCACCGTTAGTGAAATTTCGCCTGCTAACTATCAGTGAATAAAATAATTTCCATATTTTGCATAACCTAATATTCTTAATCACATCCATTTTCATGTAGAAGTAATGGAAAACTTACGGGATATTCAGGCGACAAGTAGAATAAATAGCGCTGGTGTATGCGAGTTAGATTTAACGTGAATTAAGGCGAGAAAGAATTACTTCATAAAAAGCGAAAAGACCGATTTCAGATGCGCTTGAAATAAAAACAACTTTTTTCGACGGATTTTCGCTGTATTTCACTAACTTCACTCTTATTTTCATATACTTGTTTACCTAGGTACATGTTGAGTAGTGTACGTTATCACCAGACATAACATATTTACAAAATATATCCATAAACCAAGCAGGAAGAAAAATTTGGAAGATAAATAGAAGCTTTCTTGGTCCATGAGTTTATGCAAACCTGCCTTACCGGGACCTACTAGTTGAAGTACGAGTCTCACATGTCAGCACGCGCCGCAAATTTTTGAAACAGACCGTCCGGAGTACAAATGGCTGTACGATTATCAATAAGGTGGCGAAAACCCACTATGACTTTAAGCTTGATTCTAATCCTATTTAACAAAATTAGTAAATACTGTGTTATTTTAGATTTAAATCAGGATATAAGGAAATCATACTTGCTTAGCGAAGACTGAAATTCTTTTGAAAAGCTAGTGAGATTTCACTAAATCATTCAACAGACAAGTCTCTGGATATCGAGTTAGTCAAGTATAAAAAGCGTGCATCGGTCACTCTTGCTCTATGGACTGGCCTTTAGGTCACTGATCTAACATTTTTTGTCAGTCCGTCCTCCTGAAGATTTCATGGATATATAGGCCGTGACAGTAATTCGACCCTCGACGCCTTTGTGATTAAGTATCCCGAACTCACTCACTAGAAACCAGGAGTAGAGGAGTTAAAAAGCTCAGTTAGAAAATAACTGGCATATCAAGAAGCGCTTAATCTAAGTTAGCTAGTTGTTGCGAGGGATGAGCAGCACGGTATCATCAACGGTGACGTGGTTAGGTTACTTAACACGTCCAGTAAAACTAATGAGGTGGGCGACCTACGGAAGTATTTATCATGGGGAGGGGTTATTTACTGTTACAGCTCACTCACCCTTTATTTGGGTGATGACAACAGCGAGATATGACCGGCCATAAAATTTTAAATACTCTTCAGATAGTTTGCATTGTTCCACATAGTCTGGTCGTCTTTGCCTAATCTGAGGAGCCATATAGTACGCATTGATTAGTATATGAAAAACGTAAAACTAAAATTCTGGTTCATCGTATTCGTCTTCTGCATTTTGTCTGTTTCAGTCACCCTGAATAACAAGCAAAAGGGAATATAAGTGCACGTCGAAATACGCCCCCAAAAAATTGTGAAAAAATCCTGCATATATGCGCCCATATACAATAAGACAAAGATAAAAATTGTGAACTAAAAGGATTTTCGATATTTTTTAGTGAAAGAGAAGTGAATCTTTTCCTCGTGTGGAGATATTAGATTTGTGTAGCACTTATCGTACCAGCAGTTACATTCAAACTCATGTTTAAAGCTTTTAGAGCCATCCAGGCTTATAAAGTGCCATTCTAATATGTTTTAACTTCGGATTTCACCAGTTGAAAATATTTTTCTGTGTAATCATTGTATTTTCATACACCGTTTTATTACTATCCTTTTCCTGAAACGAGGTTTGCCGATCTTCTAAAGTTGTTTTACCTCAACTCTCACTGATTAAAGTCACGGTTTTCGTACATTCTTATAGTGACTGTAGTAACATTAAAAATTTTGACGGTTTTAGTTAGCTCTGCGAAAATTTTCGTTTTTTACCCACATCATTCTGGTTACAGTGATCATTCAGGGTCATTGATACAGTAGACAGTTGCTCTTCATCCCTGTTGAAGATGAGATGAACTGTGACTGGTGACAGAGACAGTTTCACGGAATGTGTACTTATCTGTTACCGGCCGCTTGTAAATGTTATTGTAAACGTTTTGCCTTCTTATTCACTTATGTTTTTGCCCATAAATTTCTGATCTTATTTTTCTTCGTATTTTTCTGTTAGCTATCTATCCTTTCCATCTCCAGCTATTTGTTGCTATTGATTTGATTAACTGAACATTTGTTGGTGGATTATCTGAGTGGTAATATTTACTTAAGTAATGATGTATATTCATATTTTTGATGAATATTAGAACCGGTATTTACCCAAATCACTTGTTTTGATTTCAACTGGGCGATAGCGCGTATCTAAAATACCTAGATAGTTATTCTTCAGTTCAAACCTCAGTTCCGATCATACAATAATTGTCAAGTTTTTAACACACTTTGCCTTTCTTCTTGGTTCTTCGGTTTCAAAATCCCAAAATCCAGCGTCTTGCTTCAACTTCTGTCCTATCCACGTTGACATACGTCACAACACACCATTCATTATTGCAGCACTCTCTAATTTGAAGATTATATTACCACCATTTATTGTAATTTTTGTGATCTGTATGGATTTTGTCTTGACTTACTATTGCTCTTCCTACTCCATGAAGAACTGATAAGCAGTTCTCCGGTCATATATATGCGATGGTCTCGTTGCATTTTTATTTCCTCTCTCTTTTATCCCTCCTCACAATCTCAGACATTTTCCTTCATCGTCCAAGTTTAACAGCACTTCATCTGAAGCTATTATTTTTTGTTCATAATAATAGTAATAATAATAATGTTTATTCTCAAATAGCTACGTTACAAGAGGCATTTCAGTTTACAGGCTACATCAAATTGTCACAAATGCTTTAACATCTACTGTAAAAGTTATCGTAGATAAATCAAGTATAAGAGTCAGTTTCTGAAAGCACAACTCCGCCTGCAGACCCTTCGGGGCTACTGCCGGTCCCAAGCCCGGATAAAGGAGGAAAGGTTGGACACGGGGTTGGCGCCCCCCCATCCCAACTAAAAACTAACTTGCCGAAAGAACGCCAACCAGAAGAAATAATTCAAACCATTTTAACTCTGCCCTAGGAGTTGGAAGGAGAATTATGACGTCGCGTGACGAAAGCCTAGATCCCTCGGAAGTCACGAGGCTGATCCCCCTTCTGACAACCATAGCAACCGTTATTTTAGGTACATGGAACATTCGTACATTGTGGGAGACTGGAAGACTATTTCAACTTGCGGCAGAAATGAAAAGATACGACCTCGAGGTGCTCGGCATCAGTGAAACACATTGGACACAGGTAGGACAACTGAGACTAGCTTCCGGGGAACTGCTGTTCTACTCTGGTCATGAACAGGAAAATGCTTCACATACACAAGGAGTTGCACTGATGCTGTCCAAACATGCACAAAAGGCACTGATAGGATGGGAATCTCACGGACCCAGGATCATTAAAGCATCCTTCAAAACGAAGAAAGAGGACATTACAATGAACGTCATCCAATGTTATGCACCTACCAATGACTACAATGACGACGATTAAGATCAGTCCTACGAGAGGCTGCGGTCAGTCGTTGATAGATGCTCACCAAAGGATTCGACGATTCTTATGGGAGACCTGAATGCCAAGGTTGGCATGGACAACACTGGGTATGAAGACATCATGGGACGGCATGGACTGGGAGAAAGAAACGAAAATGCTGAGAGATTTGCAAACCTATGTGCATTCAACAAACTGGTCATCGATGGCACAATATTCCCGCACAAGCGCATACACAAAGCCACATGGATTTCACCGGAGCGCACTACTCGAAACCAGATTGACCATATCTGTGTCAACAAAACGTTCCGAAGGACTATGGAGTATGTGAGAACCAGGAGAGGAGCTGATATAACATCAGATCGCCATTTACTAGTCGCTAAAATGAGACTAAAACTAAAGAAGCACTGGACAGCGGGACAGGAGACATCGCAGAAGTTTAATACAGGTACTAGGGGGTGTAGGAAGGATTTGATTTTGACCAATTCGGTCTCGCGTGCTGTTATGGGTATGAGGGCGGTTGTCACTTCCCGGCTGCCCACACCGTGGAAGGTTGATTCTTGAGGAACCTGAAAAGGGAGATAGATTAGTGTTGGTCTTAGAGACCTGGGTGCGTGACCACAGAGCCCAAGGGACAACTGCTTGAGGCCGGTAACGCACGGCCTTTTTATGAAGGGTTTTTGAGGATTAGCTCCGTTCTTAAAGGCCCTTAGTGGGCACCCTTACCCAAGGAGACGGAAATCCATGAGTTAGGGGAGGTGTGACATTTTTAGAGCCGACCTTTTCTAACACTTCATCCCTTGTGAGAAGGCAGCATCGCTGCAGATGCTGGTTGTCCGAGGGAAACACCTTACTGCTGTCACACCCCTCTGCAGTCAGCAGTACGACTTCGCCCTCAGACCTTCAGTAGCTGCTTTTAGTCTCATCGTTCTCCAATCAACCTGCCTGGCATGGTAGAACCTTCAGGAACATATGTTCCAGCCAGTATAGCTCGGTTGGCTCATCATGATAGGCAAGCCCGACCACCACGTCAAGGTAGCAGCTACGGTCGAAGAGAGAGAACAAACCAGATTCCAGTGGAGGAGGAGATCAGGAAGAAGAGGTGGAAGTGGATAGGACACACAATATGAACAACACCGAGCTGCTTCACAAGACAAGCCCTCACATGGAACCCTCAAGGCAAAAGGAAAAGGGGAAGGCCAATATGGCATCCAATATGTTTGAATGTTTCCAAGAACCTCCAGGTTGTATCTTTACATTTTCTTCAGCCACCCTATTGGCCCTTCCGGACCCCCACATTGTATGAACATTTAACGTACCTATGACAATAGTTGCTCAGGTTGTAAGATGGGTCGTCCGCCACGTGACTTCTAAAGAGAATTATCTTTCACCATGAGTCTTGATAACTCTTCTGGATGGCAACCTTGAGACTGCCAAGGCGAAATAATTATATTTAATCACAAATATCCTTATTATATTTGAATACGTATCAATATTACACACGTATATAATTTCATCTGTTTTCTATACAGGTTTGTCGTTTTCTTTGAATAATTCTTTCAGACAGTTGATGAGGCAATAAAGCACGTCAAAAAAATGAATTACCAATTTTCACTGTAGTCAAGAAAGGTGGAAAAAATGTTGATCACAATAAACTGGTTAGCGTCTTCTGAAAATTAATTTTCTGCAGGATTTGGTCGCGAACTACATGTAAACCCTTTCTTCCGTTATTCGAGCTTGGTAGCGACGGTAACTCTGGGAGTGCTCCAGTTAGAGTTCAGCCCAGGCTGAAACTTTGTCAAAATACTTCAGCTAGGTGTACTCTAAAGTCACTGTAAACAACATTTGTCAGTATAACACCGAAATATCAGCTATAGAGCCAATATATGTGACTGCGTAGGCTGTTCGTCAGTTTCTAGCAAGTCTCAAATCTAGTCCGTCACCGGGTTCTGATGGGTTGCACCCACGGTTGCTGTCGTTCTTCGCGCACATTGTTGTGGAACCACTTGTGATGCTGTTCAACATGTCCCTATACCAGGCCCAACCCTTTAGGTATTTGAAGAATGTGACACTTAGACCTATATATAAATACTGAGAAATAAAAAACTCGTTTAACGGCCGGCCTGTCGGTAGTAGTCACGTTACTTGAAAAAATTGTTCAGAATAAGTAACTAAGTCTTGCAGAATTATGCAGTCTGTTAGCTCTTGAGCAACTTGGGTTTCGGAATAAGCACTTGTGCTCAGCAAACTTACTTAAAGCGATGGAGGACTGGATAGCAATTCGAGATAAGGGGTTATCTGTAGGCGTAGTATTCATCGTATTCAACAGAGCATGAAGGATAACAGGTGCAGTACATGAACAGACAGAAATCGTCCTCAGTCCCCGAAGACAGAGGGTGAGAGTAAATGGGATAATATGTGAATGGAAACCGGTCCTGACTTCCAGGTTGATTTGGAAGACTTGGACAAACCGATATGTCATACGCCTCCTAGAGTATTGCAGCTGGGCGGCCGGTCCACATTTGACCAAAGATGCTATCGAACATAAGCGTATTCAGCGTGTGGGAACTACGTTACTGACGGGTCTTTCAAAACTCCCTTACGAGAAACTCTTAAACACCTAAATCTTTTCCCCGTATCTCACTACAGAACACTGAGTGATCTTATGTTGGGATTCAGTATGTTGAATAACGATCTGAGTGTTAATGTGTTATCTTTTTCCTCCTTCCGAAGTTAACCATCTTTGATACAACCGTGCTCAAACAGACTCAGGATCGGATCCCGTTCTTCGTATCGAGTGTTCAGCAAATGGAAAGCCTTATACGAACAAGTGTTATCAACCCGAACACTTTTAATGCGAAACTGTATCTCAAGTGGGATGATAATCTGCAGATTTATTAACCTACTATCCTTATTATAGAAACTGAAAAACCGTACGCACATTTATTAACATAGGCAAAATACTAGGACCTATTTTTTAATAAAATATCTATGAACATATAGAAAAATTTTGTTCGCTCTCGTTGTGTATCGCACAATCACATTCAAAACAGCAATCAAATATCTACAGTAAACATTTGAGCACAGAGAGGCTAGGCACCATACTCTCCTCTCTATTTGCAAAAACGTCTTTGAATATTTTTGATGTTTTGAATATGGATTGATGGGTAATCAGTAGGCAAAATCTTTGAGAATATTGAGCAAAATTTCTTAAACAAAGGGTATTGGCAAATGTTCATAGAGTGCAATAGAAACGACATAGCCGTTTTAGAAATGTCGTCTGCAGGTATAGGGATTCAGTTATACGTTTCGATTCAATCACTTGTTGAAAATACAGTTGTAATACCTAGAAAGATAAACCATTTCTCGACTAATGATATGCACTCGTCTCTTTAGATATTTCTGATGGTCATAAATTAAAATGTTGTTCGGCGGTTTTTGAACGGTTCTATATCGTTCTTAAACATTAAAGTGCACTTAGAATGAATCTAATCTCAACGACTAATTAGCGTACAGTTACAGTTTATTTGAAGAAGTCAAGTTATTCATGGATTATTTTTATTTTCATCAAAAATAAAATGACAATTGAATAGCCATTCAATATTAAATCGTTAAAAGTCATCATTGAATAATTCGATGATACGCTTCACTGAAAATTTATTTCATTTTCAACTACTGAATTTACATTTCATTTCAGTTAAATGGTTAGGCTAATACAATATTGCCATATTCAAATTTACGATTTCTCATGATTGACGAAATTAGGTAGATAACTTGAATAAAACCGAAGATGAAACACAGATACATTAATCTTTTTAGGCAACTTCGTACAAAGTCGTTTAACACTGTTATACATCCCTGTCAATAGTAGAAAACAGTAAACCGAATTACAATAGAGGAACATAATAGGTTTATGAGAAGCATTATACAAGCAATTACCAACTTATCACTTCACCTGTTTAAAGGCAACGAATTTCAAAATAATCGAAGATTGTCTCATCATATAAGATGAGATGAAAGGAAACGCCTTTCGTTGTGTTGTCTACAACCAAACAAGAATTTCAAATCCTACCACATGTCATTCACAAATGAAATGAACATTTCAACTAGAATGAAATTCACTTAACAATGTACTACTAGGTGATAGGGCTGAGGTAATATTGATGCTAAGTAAAACGGACTTACAAACGGACTTCAAACAACAGACTGTCTGATCAAATCCAAAGTCACATTATTGTGATGATTACAGTCAAGCACATTAAAAAAATGCAGTCACCAATTTTACACTGAATACGAGAATCAGCAACATTTCACTAATCGACATAAAACTGGTCAAGACTTTAAGTTTTCTGAAGTGAATAATTCAAATTGGCGGATATTTCCAAAAGTTTATGATAAATAAGAAAGAAATCACAATACGTATAGCAAAATAAGTCGAATTGTGAATAGTTCTCGGTACATATTGACTTACTTTCTGATAAATCAGATTTATATAATCACACGATTGAGGGATTTTTCTATGTACTACTTTTTGTTGGAAGTCCATAAGGGAATTAGCTCCACAACAATTGAACTACGCATAACACAATTTCATGATTATTTGTTTCACAAAACAAACTTTCGTTTGTAAAACGTCAAACTGCATCTGATATTCAATCTTCTTGTAGTAATCTCTCACAGTTGCATTCAGAGATTCACGAGCTAACGCAAAGAACTACAATGAACATACGAAGAGAGTGTATGTTAGTCTGCATCAAATTCAATCTACATCAAACAAACCTTGTCTTCCGTTGAAGCCACGTTCTCAGCTACACCGATCTCCATCAGTGTCACCAAACACAAAAGAAAAATATTCTAAACACACAAATCAGCAACAACAACAAATGTTTGTCCACATTGCATGCATCAATTACCACATATATGATCATTTTGTGCTGCTTCATGAATCCATAAACACCCACACATGATGCCAATACACCAAGTCCTCCTGCAATACTAGCAACCAGTAAGACCGATGGTTTGGCATTATTTAAAATTGCACTGAGTCCATTCAGAGTGACCTGTGGACCGATGCTGATTGCCAACACAACTATGCTAAATATCTTCAATGAAACGGTTGAATGAAATGAATCATGAAAGGGGCACACGAATGAAGATACTCACCACAAAACTACAGTTACATATGATGAACAATCTTCTCCAAAATTCACTTGACAATGACATTGCGCTATACTCTGATTAGTATGCACTCACAGTTATCAGCAGTTAAAACACTCTGTGGTGATAGCTAATATCATCTAGTTAGTGTCTGACGTCTCATTAAATATATCAATTTCATTGTTTCAATTCGTCATGAATCATGTGATTGATTAGCTGGTTAGTTAGTTAGTTAGCTTCATTGTCATATGTTTGTTCTATTGTGAATCTACAAACACGTATACAGGGTTAACTGACATGCAACTCTGCGAAGCATTCATTTCGTCAATTGATTTGAAGAAAATATTCGACTTTTACTTACACAAAGACACTAATGTAATCATAATAATAATTTGATTAATGAAATGTGCACACCGCTTCATTAGAATGTATGTTGTGATGCACAGATTCGTTTTGATTCCCTGCAATTGTTTTTCATTTCAACTGTTCATATGATCATGTATTCCCTAATATAATTAAAAGTTATTAATAGAATTCAAATTAACAGAATATAAGCTGTCAGTGAAATAATTGAGACTGACAATGTAGATATGTATTGCTGTTGTTGTGTTTTACACTCACATTGATGTATTGAAGCCACTGTAGTCAAATATTCAATTAAAAAAAGATTCTTTTTTGCTGAAGTAATTACTTCCAAATATAAGTTGAATTCCATAGTTTTGGTTTCATTTATGTGTATGCCACAGTGAACAATATGAATTTTTTTGATGAACATGTGAGCAGCAGGAGTAGTAGTTTGATTATCAGCAAATTAAAAATCCGATTAAGATTACATTTTCGTCATATGGATGACAATGCTAGTGTTTTGTAAAAATGCAAAACCAAACTATACATCTCACAAGAAATGTTTAATGGAGTCAACACGAACCAATTACTTTCACCAGGCACATCTTGTTGATACAAAATTCTGACGTGATATTCCACAGAAATATTCATCGTAAACCGACTGCACAAAGCAAAGTTGTTTATCTTTTTCAGTCTTCTATTTATTGTATTTTAGGAGAAACTTATACACATGCATGATTCGTTTAGTCAATAATCTAATCAAAACTTTCACTGATGTTTCCAAACATGTTATTTTTGATCAATGTGACTTGAAAAGATATATGAGTTGACTTGGTTTAATGGTTCAACATATTTGAAAGATTCGATCAGTTATTTGTAGATAGCGAACATAAAAATAAATGAGACTTACTTACTTAACTTTTAGCTTTCTTATGTCTTTCACCCTCTAGTGAAGCATGTACTGTTAACCAGCATTCTCTAACGTACTATGAACTTCATCTTTCGCATTCAGGATTCCAAGTGAGGTCTTGTCTTTTGATGCAGTTGGGCGCTTTCTTCAAGGTGTGTCCTATCAACTTCCAGCCTTCATCCTGATTTCCTTCTCCACATACCGAAGTATCTTCATGAATATAAAGAAAGCTTTCATTTACTAACTGAATTATGTAAGGCTTCCATGATGAAGTGATTGTCATTTATTTTCGATATGAACTCTCGTTCAGTTTTAAAGGAATGGTTTTACAATATCATATTGTGGGAGTTGTAGAAATTTTTTCATTATATTGTTTTAGACAGACAGTTGTTTATTGTTAAAATCGTGAATCAATCATTGAAAAGTCACCACTAGAAAGCTGAAAGAACTGGACGGCTGTTTCGTTCTGATATGCGATTCATCATCAGTGTACTCTCACGAAAGAACAAGAATCGAGCGCGAAGAAATCAAATTGGTTTACACTAGCTCGTGAAAAAGATATTGGATATTGAACTCCCGCAACTTGTGGGATTCAAACACGGGACCTTCGGTCTTGAGTGTGAATGCCTAAACTGTGGATCATTAGGCCAACATCCAGCAGCGAGGTTGCAGAAAATCCTTAGATCGATCAGACTCAGACATTAATATAGTGTTTCGTTACTGAATTTTAAAAAATTTCCTTACCGAAATCTTGAATATTGATAACTTTTCAAGTTTCAAATGTTGACATGAATGCATCAAATATATCCATTTGTATTAAGCTTTTTTTCACCAATCAGAATGCTATGGAAGTTTATTATCAATAAAACTTGAATATTTGTTTTCTTATTTCTAAATGTTATCATTCAAGTTGAGGTAACAATCAATATGGTTTTGTTCCTTTTTTCACATTTTGTGATGAAAATGTGCCTTGTGTGTGTAAATATGTCAATTATTCGCTCATATCTTTGGTTGTTTTTACTCGAATATGTGTGTGCATGCGTGTTTGAGTTAGTTTTTTTGTCTGACTTTAAAAGCTTAGTTACGTCAAAATTCATTGAGTTGTCTCACTCACCTTCTCCAATTTGCTTTGCTTTAGTTTGATTTAACGATTTTTATCCTCATGTTTATCTGTTTAATTGAATGCATGGAAAATATCATCAGCAAAACTGTATTTAGCATCTTATACCCACCATTTCACAAACGAAGCTCGTCTAGGAATTACTTTACGTCACTCATTTACTTCTGTTACCCGCGGTGGATCATAAGCCAACAACCATTATTCTCCAACATACTTTGTCCTGTGCCTCCCTTTTCATTTCTGTCCAGTTTTTGCTCCTTCTTCCCGCCTCTATTTATTGGCGTAATGTGTTCCTTAGCTTTCTTCTTTCCCTATGTCCTTGAAGAATCCAGGCAATGGGCTTGTCTTGTGACGCAGTTAGGCGTCTTTTGCAGTGTGTGTTCTATCCGCCTCCAGCGCTTCCTGACTTCCTCCTCATCTGGAAGAATTTGGTTTGTTCTTTGCCTCAGACGTTAATCACTGATGGTGTCTGGCCAACGGATCAGAAGTATTTTGCTTAGACAACTGTCAATAAATAATTGTATCTTCTGGATGATGGCTTCTTAGTTCTCCAAATTTCCGCCCCATACAGTAGAACTGTCTTGACATTCGTATTGGAAATTCTGATTTTGGTGTTATTTGATAGTTGTTTTAAGTTGCAGATGTTCTTTAGTTGTAGAGATGCAGCCCTTGCTTTACCGATCCACTCATCAACATCTGTGTCAGATCCGCCTTGCTCGCCAATGATGCTGCCTAGAAATATAAAGGTTTTGAAGTCCTCTGCGGCATCTCTATGAAGAGTGATTTGGTTGGAGCATGTTGTATTGTATAGAAGAATCTTGCTTTTCCGTTTAGTAGATTGTGACCTGTTGCTACGCTGGTCTTCTTCTCTTGCCTGTGTTGTTGCGTACTTGTTCTTCATCCCAAATCTTGTTGGAGAGAATGTGAAGTATTTTTGCGGTTGCTTCCACGTCTGCTTTCATTGCATCTGCTGGAATGTGTTCTCGTCTCGTTGATTAGCCGCTCTTGATTTGTCTGATAGCCATGCTGATCTCTTCAATTGTGGGTGCGCCAACATCGATTGTTTTATGTTTTCTGCTTGATGTAACGCCAAACCACTGTATTAATGACCCCCGAACGTTAGACTCCCACCGTTCAAAAATAAGAAGACGGAAGACGTTGGAGAACACTTATTAACAGAATCAAAAATATACAATCAAACATGCGTATTTATACAATTATACATATAATCGATATTGTCGTTTAAATATTTGAATATTAAATCCAATAGTTCATCGATCGACTGCCCTTGAAATATTTAAGCATTTAATCGATAAGTTCATCAATCCACAATGTGCGTGGCTTTCTTCTCGATTGGCTATCCCAACAGATTGGAAGGTCCGTAGATGCAGCTTCGATGTTGGGTGGGTTCAGTGCAGCTATTCGATTCAAGAGTTCCTTGAAGTGCTCTATCCACCTATTTCGCTGTTCTTCAGTGTTGTTGTTCTGGTTTACGACAGTTTTCAATGAGCTTCTTTTTTCTATCATGCAATCGTCTTTCGTTCGCTTCTCTTACAGAAAGTGCTAGATTTGCCATATATTTACGTGATAATACTTCTTGTGACCCAGATCCCCTGACATGTTGAGGTGATTGCCTCCTTGAAACCTTCCCAGTTCTTCTCCGTGGCAGTTCCTGTTCCATTGAGTCGATCTTGAAAAGCCTGGAATCTATTGCAGAAGGGCTATCTTGGATTCACTGAGATCTCCAGTATCCCAAAGAAATGCCGTATTAACTATTCGTGAAGTTGTCTGTCTCGTAGTTCAGTGTTTCTTCAATTTCTCTGATCATATGAGGCTGTATGAGCTCCTGTCTTACTTCAAACCTGCTCCATGTTGTAGTATTAATTTGTGCCTTACAGATATACTGATAGAACTGTAAATGCAATATTGAAGAATACAGAATCGGTGGGAAAGCTATTGTCAGAATAAGGACAGCTTGGTTTTAAACTATATCTGTTTCTAAACTTAAAAACAATTAAATTAGTACAATAGTTGAGAAAATTACAGCTATTAAGTGAAGCGGTCAAGCATACGGACGGCATACGGCGTATCTGATAGAAATGAATAAAATAATGAGTCACACTTATATATTAATACAGTAATGTCCTTCAATTGATAGTTCATATGCAACAGAGTTAGGTTACAGACACGTCGTGAACGTTGAAACCACGATTTGATTGGTTAATTGTGGATATCGCTAACACGTGGTCCTTTTGACCTTTTGGTCGATACATATATGAATGATTTGGTTTTGAGTAGTGTGATACGAAGAAATCCATGTAG